AGCCTCTCAAACGTCTTGAGCACAAAGGACATTAGGCTTATTGGTCGGAAATCTTTAGCATTGTCATGGCCCCGTGTGCCCGCTTTAGGAATAAAAATTACTTTAATCTTCCTCCAGCTGAACGGAACGTGGTTCAGTATTACGCAGCGTCCCGTACCGCTTTTTTAGATTTCTTTAGGTCCTCTCTGTACCTTCTCTCCCATACCTTATTCCTGTAGCATTCGTTGAAGGATTTTCTTACTTGCTTCCATAGCGCTGTAAGGTTCCCATTCCACCAAGGTGTGCGCGCTTTCTTGCCATACCTCAGAGGACAAGCCTTCGTAAAGGCCTTTCCAAAGGCCTTATTCAGGCTGCCCGCTTTGGCGTTCAGCTCGCCCCTTGTAAGAATGCCTTCAACTTGTAGTTTCTTCAATTTTTTTCAATAACCTCTTCAAATAAGTAACTATCTGTTTTACGAGGGGTTCTGAAGGGAGTAGGCGTATCCGCCGCAATATTTTACTGAAAGAGTTTTCGACGGTGGTCCGAGAGGGTCTCTTCGTTGGACACTCTCAACTTATTGGCCTTTAGGCTCCCCTCGGTTAGCAGAGTTAGGTCTGGGACCTCTTCCCAACCGCAAAAATCAGGGATACTAAGAAATATGAAGGTGGGAGTACTCCTCTATTACAAACCCTAAACGTAGAATTAGTAATAAATTGAAATAGTGACTCACCTCTATCGTTCGTTTCCGAGCTGATCCACAATGTATGTCGTGAATTGGCATCGCAGCCGAGTAACACTGGACTAGCTCCTGCTAGCCTTTGTAAAGTGACGACGTCCTGTGGCGGACACGGCTTGTCGTGCGCCATGTATACGGATGGTATTAAACAGCTTCGTTCATTCATCAACTCCAAGTTGACAGCAGTAGTGAGCTGAAATTGGAACATAAGAAGGCTTTAATATGTTTTTTAACCAATACACATGCGCGGGGTTTACCTGATATACTGGTGTATAAGAGGTTATAGTGGGCGTCGGTGCGTCCCTTAACCTCTAGGTCCCTTACCCAAGCTTCCTGCATCAGCGAGATGTCGATCTCTTCCTCCCTTTGGAAGACGAGGAGCTTGTCAGAGGCGGCCTTAGAGTGCCTAAGATTTGCCTGGACCACCTTCATCGACTTTCTCGGCATTGCCAGCTGGCCGTGTGGCTGCCAGTGCCTGGTTGGCACCTTCAGCGACCTCTTCGTCCGCGGTAACTTTGAGGTTCATATTGCCAAACATCTTTTTGCCATCCTCGGTGTCAGCCTCTGGAATCGGCACATTGGAGCGGAATATTTTTAGTTTAGCTGTTCTCATCCCGAAGAGCAGCCTGTTGTCAGTTTTTGCAATGGCTCAATACTTCCTTCGTTAAGCCTCAGAAGGTACGAAGAACTCTGCGCGCCCTCTAGAGGCTTTTCTGACAACCCAATCACTCATGCGTATCTCCGGGTTCTGCCGTGGTAGGAAACTGACCAGCTTGTCGCTGTCCATAGCCATCTTCGGCAGCCAAATGCGGGCCCTGGGTTTCCTAGGTACCGCCTCAGCAGGGATTTGTTTGAACTTCAAACCCTCCCAGGCGTTGCCGAGCTCAGCTACGCACTTGCCGACGAATTCGCTAGAGAGCTCATCTCTACATTTCGAAATCCGACAACCGCTCAGGGAGTCACTTGAGTCAAATCCTGGAATAGGGTTGTCCGGATTTTCAAACAGGTGGTCATCCATCTGTTCAGAGAGTTTTGACTCGATCTCGACCCACCTCTCCTGAACGCGCTTACCGCTGCCTGTGACTTCGTCGCCAAACGGGACCTGAAGGTGATCCCTGGCCACCCCACAGTACCGTCGTTTCGGCAACGTTTCTTCTTGCTGGGGTGTGCTCCTCCTTAGGTCTGCCACAGGGTTCTTTGTTGGTTTTGAAGTAAGGTACCTTCTGTACCCCTCCTTGGTTTTCCTCCTTTCTTGCTTTGGAGTGCTCCCTGGGGCACTCAACGTTGCCTTTGAGGAAGGTGGGGTATTGTCGGGATCGCTAGGCTTAGCGCTCACCGGTATTATTATCGAAGATCATGCAGAGTCCTGACGCACGTCCTCTGCGCAAACAGCTCTCCTCTCTTCGAATTTTGTGTTTTGTATTTTTGTTTTTATTTGCATTTTTATTCATTGCTTTTTGTTCCCACGGGTTAAAGGAATCAATTGGGATGGGGAACTTCGATGCGGGCGTCTGCGCATGGGAGCTGCAGCCCACGGCCGCCACACGAACTACGGGTGAGCAACCGCAGACTCCAGTCCCATACCCAGTATCTCTCTTGGTTCATGGTGCTGTGCCCGGCACTCCAGTATGACTGACATAGCATGACTTAAGCCCCATCCCCAGCGGCCAGAAGACCGACATGATGAGGCGTCTTGCGGTTCGTTAAATAAAAAATGGATATCAGAAATTAATTATTTGTATCAAACAATTCCCAAGCACAAGTTTTTATTAAAACAAAAAAAAAAATGTAACACTTTAGTAAATATTAATCTGCATATTAACTTGGTATTAATTAAAGATTCTTCTTCTTTATTGGCGCTGTAACCGCCTAAGCGATTTTGGCCGAGTCCAAAACAGCACGCCAGTCATTTCTCTTCTGTGATAACTGACGCCAATTGGAAATGCCAAGTGCAGCCAAGTCCTCCACCTGGTCTTTCCAACGCAGAGGAGGCCTTCCTCTTCCTCTGTTACCAGCATCGCGGCCCGCGTTGAATATTTTCAGAGCAGGAGTGTTTCTGTCCATTCGATCGACATGGTCAAGCCAGCGGAGCCGCTGAATTTTAATTCGCTGCGCTATGTCTATATCGTTGTAAAGCTCATACAGCTCATCGTTAAATCGTCTGCGATATTCGCCATCACCAACGGGTAAAGGTCCGTAAATCTTTCGCAGAATCTTTCTCTCGAAAACTCCCAAGAGCCGCCTCATCAGATGCTTTCATTAACTAAAGATATCTTCTTTTAAAATTGCGCAGGCTCGAAATTAATTTAAGAGCTATGGTCTAAAGGAGTTTTTTCTTAGAATCTTATGTAGAATCCGAATCTGCTAGGAACGCTGTCGAAAAAAATTGAACCGCCCTAATGTATATATACAGTGACTCCAACAAGTGACCACGTGTTAATTTTTTTTTAATATTCGTAATGCTTTTCGAGCTAAATTTGTATTGTTATTTTTTTATAAAAATACCGTCCAAGCTTTAACCAAAACTATAAAAATCACAGTTTCAAGCGTTATAGAAAATTAAGGTAAATTCAACAAATTTTAATCAAAATTTCAACTTTTTAATCTGAACCTTTAGAACATTTTTGGGTATGCATTTTATAGCCCATACAATTTTAATCTATTGAAATGCAAGTTTTAAACCGCTAAATTTCCCGTTGGTTTTGGTAATAGGTTTGAAACTGTGATTTATATGGTTTTGGTTAAAGCTTGGACGGTATTTTTATAGAAAAATAACAAAAAATTGTCATTTGTTTGAGTCACTGTCTTTCAATCACCTTTCCAACCATGTCCATTTTCAATAGTTTTCGAAATATAAGCTTTTGAAAAGATTGAAAATTCCGATTTTACACCCCAAGCACGGCCTCTGTTAATTTGCAAAAAAAAAAATTACAGCAATAAAATCAGTAAAAAGGGCGGGCCACGCCCACTTTTTTTAACCAGCTAAGTCGATAATTTTGTAATTTATCTTAATAGCGCGTTTCTTGATGCTTCGTAACTGTTTTAAAACGGAATTGTACTGTATCTTCTAGCTTTACTTTTGATTTGGGAAACATTAGAAAACTACATTAGAACGGTTTGTTGGGTTTAATTGATATCATTGAATAAAAATTCTGTAAATCCCACCGTGACCAGTAGCATGGTCATTAAATCAGAACGTTATATAAAAATTTCCTTAGTATTAAAGGAAACAGAAATGAATCTATAGAAGTCTTACTTCATTAGTGTAGCCTAAGCGCACTTATTTGTTCGTTTTTTATTATTTTTATGAACAGGGAACGGATTTTTAGGACCTAAAAACCTATAAAAAGGCAAAATAAAATAATGAAATAGGCTGGAAAAGGCAAAATAAAATAGCGAAAAAGGCAGGAAAAGGCATTAGGTATTGCAAAAAAGGCAAAACAAAATAGCGAAAAAGGCAGGAAAAGGCACTAGGTATTGCAAAAAAAGCAAAATAAGGCACTAAAAAAAGACAGGAAATACGAAGAACAATCAAAAAATACATTTATTTAGAAATGTTTATTTTACAAGTAAACAGAGAAAAACTATGAACCAGTTTCATTATATGAAAAATTTGTACTTTGACTATTTTATCCTTTGGAGTTTCTAACTCATAAAACTTTAATCTGTATAGTTGTAGTAACATTGAACCGCAAGATGCATTTTGAAGTTTTCTGGCAGCATTTTCATTAGATTTTCGCGAAGAAAAGCCTTGAATGTACTAAATGTACGCTCGACGTAAGTTGATACAAGTAGAGCCCAATTTAAATATGGAACATTTGAAACGTTCATATTATCAGGAATAAGGGCGTTTTCCCCGCCCTTTACAATTTTATGCACACCCCTTATTGTCTCCAAGCCGACGTTAGCTGAGAAAACGGCTTTGACTTTTTCCAACACTAATTTGGCAAGAGGTCCCTGCACTTCTATAAGCCGCATGGGCATGTGTATATTTTTTAATCTTTAAACAAAAATTGTAAATCCTATAATCACGTTTTTAAAGGTAGAATAGCCAAAAAAGGCAAATATCTTAAAAAAAGCAAAAAAAGGCAAAAAACGGCAACATCAAATGTGTATATATGGAATCGGAAAGCTAAATCGTGGACATTCTTGATCGAATATACTCTATCTCTTTAGCAGAAAAAAAGGCAATTTCCATAAAATCCGTTCCCTGTTTATGAATATGTATATGATAAAAGCCAGATAGTAAAATATACACATGTGTATATATTTTCATTTATTACAGGGCATCTTGAAAGCGGAAACTTCAATAAGTAAACGAAAAACGAGAAATCGACTACAGCAATGGATCGCAAGGCATAAACCATAATTACTTTCCGGCAACACTTAAAGGCGTACAAAATTTGTATATTACCAAATATCCATAGGTCTGCACTGCCTGCAAGTTTAACGCTCAGATATATACAATCAAGTCGATCTGAAAATTCAGGATAAAAGTTCATATGTATCGAAATCATTGTGTACTATATTGGGTCATTGAAAAAGACTGCATTAAGCGGCTAGGGCTTTTAAGCTGTATTATTAAATATAACATTTGTCAACTCTGAGTCGCAGACCACATGTGTATAAATAATTGTGTCTACATATCGTAGTGAAAAAATTTGATTGTGCATTTTCCTACTAATAAAATATAATAATATGGAATATCAATTAAATATGCCAATGTAATAAATGTATATGATATAAGCAAACATTTTTGATACATAATTGGTGGTCAGCGGAGCGCAAACATAAATTCTTAAATCAAATATTCCTGGGGCGGAAATAAAATTTTGCAAAAGCACGCGCCAGGCTATAATGTCTGCTATTTCCTCTCATATAATTGGAATTAGCACCACGGGATACACACCTACGACAACGTCGTCTCTAATAACTGCATTCTTAAGGCCAAATGCGTCTGCTGAGAATGGGCCATCGACAACATGCACTTCCACATCAACGGAAATATTAACCGCGTTGTCGTCCTTACCATCTGACTGTGATGATTTAGTTGATATTTCAAAACCTATAACACAAAATATGCATTATTCAGGAACTTCAACATTTAAAAGATTATACGCTGAATCATCCACTGGTAGGCAATTAACAATTGTAAAACCAATTAGTCCTTTATTTTAATTAACGTACAATGTTTGGCAGGTATGACAGCAACATCATCCGTCACAGTCCAGTCGCAACTTCCAATCATGTCATCAGCCGAAGATGCTTGCTCGTTTAAAATCATGTCCGGCGAAGCTATATCCGCTCCAATGCCCTCGACGATAATGTCTTCGCCTGTGTCTACAAATATTAACGCATTAACTGCGCCCTCTGGAGGATCAACACATTTACTCTTTAACAGTCTTGTTTCGGTCGACCGTACACAGCAACAAAACTCACATAGACTTCTAGTGGAAGATCAAAGGACATTGCAACTCGCACTAGAGCTATCAATAGTAGGTTTAAATGATGCGGCTACAAGCACGGTTTGTTCATCAGACCAGACACCTTCCAATAACAATCGTAATATGATTAACAATGCAAACATGCATTCGGCGATTTATCAACAGCAGATAGGAGCGCATCAGCATGTAATGTCAAGCGCACAACAGGAACATTTGAATCAAAAGATTGATTTAAATACACTTAACGCTATGAATGCCGCCGTTTCTGCCATTGCAAACGCCAACAATGGGCATATTGAAAGTAAAGTGAATGATACAGTGGCAAGCACCAATAGTAGCCATAATAGTAGTGTAATATTGAATAAGTTTTCGGTGTCGAATCCACTGTTACCTAATGCAATGGAGGATCGTTCAAAAAAATCCCAAAACATGACGGAATGTGTGCCAGTTCCAAGTTCGGAACATGTCGCAGAAATAGTAGGCCGCCAAGGTAGGTAATATTGAGAGCATGCATATTATCAATGAAATATGTACATATATAAATGGGGCGTTTCACGTCAAATGTCCCAGGCGCGCTCAGTGATACAAAACGGGCTAGCAGACAGAAAATGGAGAAAAAATCGCCAACTACAATTTCTAAAGATTTTTGAACGGGCTATCCGAGGGTTTTATGCGTTTCTCAAAATGTTCCCATTTTCACGGTGAAAATTCTAAATGAAAAATTATTTGTCACCTTTCTCCATAAATTCATAAATATATAAAGCGATTTAGAACGCCAGACCAGTCACGGTGCTCCATCACATCACGGTGGTTCTGTTCGCTTGCACTAATTAAAACATAATACTGGGTTAGCAAATTAAATAAAAAAAAAAATCACTTGAACTCGCTGTATTTCGCTCGTTTCAAAATTTTTTGCTATTCCAAAGAATTTAAGTTTAACAACTACCCCTATGCTGCAAGACTTTCGTATTCGGAGAAATGGTATGCTGCAATCCGAATCGTATTTTTGAAAGAAATTGACAGCTTTTTGAGTAATTTTGTACGAAAATAATTCTGCGACGGAAGGAAGATAAAATTAAGCAAAAAGATGTAACTTGATGTGTATTTGGAGGAAACATAAGCGGTGTTCTTTCAAACAGATAAATTTGCCCCTTTTGTAATACGTATACTTTTATTCACTGCTCTATATTTTTTATTTTTATTTTTATTTATTTTTTTTAATTTTTTATATTTTTATTTTAATTATTATTTTTTATTTATTGAATCTGCCCTACCTAAGAGCCTAACAATAAGTTTTCGAATCTGAATCTATTCACTTAATTTACATCCCCTAGTTGGGATGAGTATTTTCTTAACTGGCCCTAAGAAAAGATTACGACTGGGCTGGTAAGTCATTCCTACGTAGTCTTGAGGTCCTGTTGACACGCAATAAAGATCTT